CTATTTTTTTTTTTTTATTACTATCATAAATTATATATCAGTAAAAGACAAATGAGTGCTATTGATTGAAATTCGTTTTTCCATACAAATTATCGAAATATTCGATCAAAAAAAAAAAGGGAAGACAAAAATAGTGAAATGAAAATCACATGTGACAATTATATGTCAATCACATGTGACATCTTTCGAGATTTCGAGATTTAAACGGAATACAATCTGATTCATTCGTTTCAACTTGAACAAAATGATAATGATAATATATCTTGGGAGGATGAGGGAAGGGGCGGGGGTTAAAAATCCTGAAGGGAAAGTAAATACATCAAATAGCAATAAATTTCTTCCACATTTTTTTATCTTTTTCAAATTAAAAAGTATTTTTTGTCGTTTATTTTCTTTTTTTTGCATAAAATTAATTGTCAAAAATTTGTTTGACAAATAATTTTATTATTTTATCAGCAAAATTCTTATCATTCATTTTTAAGCTAAGGAATTAGTAGAAGGATTTGAAAAAAAAAAGGAACAATTGAATTAGCAAATAATAATTCATTGCTATTGATTATCACTTCGATATGAGAAAAAACATCGAACTTCAAATTTTTTATCACTTTTTTTTTTTTTTTTTTTTTTTTTTTAAGGAAAAATGATTTCATTTAAGCTAATTATAAACTATTCCAATTTAAAAGCATTTCATAATCTTTTTTTTTTTTGAATATAGCAAAGGTAAGATAATTAGGGTTGGATTATTGTCATCGAAAATTGATAACAAAAATTAGCGAAGGAATATTATAAAATATCAGGAATATCATATTCGATAATCTATTTGTAATCAGTTTAATCCATCTGCTTAAATGATTCATCATTTATTTGAATTATTTTTGAGATAAATTTATGAATTACATGAATGTATTTCAGTGATGAGCCAAGATGATATACGGTACAAATTTTAGGCTTATTTTTAAATTTCATCAATTCATTTGGATTGAAAGAGAAAAAAAAGCCTAATATCATTTCAATTTCTCAAATAATTTTGAAAAAAAAAAGGAAAAAACTAACGGATGAATTTTATATTGACTTTTTTCTTTTTTTTTCTTTTTTTAATGGCTAAATTATAATTCTCATTTATATAAATTGAAAGGGAATTTTATAGTTGAATTGCTTTCTAAAATTGCCTTTCTTTTCTTGTTTGTTTTCATAAATGAAAAAAAAAGAAAAAAAGAAAGAAAGAAAAAGGGAAAAATTGTTGTTTGCTAAAATTTCCTTTTCGATTAGAGAAAAAAAAAGAAATGGAATGAAATTTTTCTATGATTATTTCAAATTACAATAAATTTCATTGGAAAAATTTGCAAAAAAAAAAAGAAAAAATTTTTGAATAGAAATAATGAATTTAATTAATTACAGATTAAAAAAAAAAAATGTAACAGATCAAGCAGTGGACAAAAGAAAAAAAGCGATCATCCTGAAATGGTGTGACAGAAATTATGCATATTCATTTATATGTATTGAGGTTAGGAAAAGGTTAAACTTGTCAAAATATGTCAAATTAAGAATGTTGAATGTTGACATCATTTACCAGTCATTTTCTTCAGAAAATTTAAATTCTTGATTTTAACGTATGTTGAAGATGATGATGACCGAAATGTTTAAAGATTTATCGGTGTAGCCTTTGATGAAAAGAAAAAAAAATTTTTTTTTTTTAAATTCAAAAGCCAATCCCTCTTATTTGAAATTTATAAAACAATATCAGTATCAGTTTCAGTATGAAAAAATATTAGTTTTTTATTTGAATTTTAGTAAAAATCGAATCTTTAAATTAACTTTTTGAATAGCTAAACTTCAATATTTACATGAAAATAAATCCTGAATTAGCATCCATGAAATAGCATTCAAATGTCATACATCAATCACCTCATTGTTTACTCCGGATAGCGATAAATTAATTCCGGATAATGATGGATAGTGCAATTGGTAACAGCTGCCAGATAATATTTGCAAATATAACAATCATTTTCAGGAACGAATGATTGACTGGAAGAGAGAAAGAAAAGTTAGAAATGGTTTTGTTGGACAGATAAATAAATAAATAAATGAATGAATGAATGGATGGATGAATGGATGAATGAATGAATGAAAGAATTAAATGGATGGATGAATGAATGGATGAATGGATGAATGAATGGATGAATTGAATGAATGGATGAATGAATG